GATTTCTCAAAGCATAGATAAACAAAAATGTGAAAATAATCATTACATTTCTTACATTATTTGTGCCTTTTTTGCCAAATAAGACAGTGTTTTTTTAAACAGACAGTGTTGCACTAAAGATTTCTGGACAATTTGAGGTACATAATCACATCATTGACCAGGGTTGGAGGGTTAAAAATGTACTCTCTGAAATACTAGTCACACATAAAAAAGTTTAATTAGTAACCTTATCTGATTATCACAATAATGAAGTAACCTTATATCTTTCGGTTACTTTCACACTGCCATGAGACACTTCTTCAAAGAACATTCAAAAGTACTGTTATCCCCTAATGATGATTTTAATGTCTCTGTTGACCCCAACCCAACAAGCTGGATCCATCTATCCATCCTCCTTAAAGGATCCTTAACCATCCCAATCCATTCCTCTCTCAAGGTCATCGATCACGCAGCACACAGTGAATCTGGCCTGCCTCAGATTGGATAGGCCACTCCTTCGTTTAAGGCGTACAGTGTGGCAATCCAGCTGTTAGTATCTGGAATTGCAAAGTAAAGAGGAGGGACAATGTAGATGTTGAGTGTCCCATTTCCACAGCTGATCTCCCCGACACGTTCATCCATCACTCGGACAGCTTCAGCGTCTCGTTAGCGGCTTCATGCGCTCCCCGGGGAACAGGCTAAGGAGCTGTTGGCTAACTTTGTCACCGGATAGTGGAGTGTACTTGATTCCTTACAAGGACGATGCTACGAGAGATCTAGGACATCAGGCATGTTTTGAAGCTCATGTAGAACTTTTAGATTTGCTTTGAGTTTGATACACTTTTCCTATGAAGTAACTGGCACATAGGACATGAAGTGAATACATTGACTATGTTTATGAAGCGCTTTATCCAGTCTTTACCACTCCTCAGAGCGCTTTCACAGCATTCACCCTTTCACCTATACTTTCCCAAAGACATATCGTCATGTTGACTTCAGGGATCAAACCTAAAACCCACAAAAACGCACCTATAGCACAAACTGCAGTAGCCACCATAACCCTACATATATTTGTATATATTGTGTTTTATAGCAATCTTTAGTCCTCTCTCAAAACATATTTATATTATCCCCTACCCCTGACTTTTATTCTAACATGTTTAATTGGATTTTAACCGTGTGTGTACATTTATTATGACCTTGGGTCTTCCAGTCCATAGTAGCACAGATGTTCCTGTATACTTTGCCAGCCACTTGGTTATGACGCTCCATGTATGCATCTTACACCCTGCTGTTATGTGCTGCACTCTCTCAGGGGCTTATTCACACAATATCTTACTTGAGGAATGAAGGAGACTTAAGATCTGGAGCTCCTGAGCCGAGGAACCCTACAGTATACCTGTAAAGTTCTTAACCAATAATCTGAGGGGAATTTCTTGTTGTTTGTTTTTAACTTGTGATGTGTCATTTTGTAAAGCACTTTGAGCTTTATGTGTTGTATGAAAAGTGCTATATAATTAGAGCTTTATTATTATTATTATTATTATTATTATTATTATTATACCTCCGTCCCAATGGCAGAAGGTGAAAGTGATGGTGCATGGGGTCCAAGATGGAGGTAGCCTTTCTGACCATTTCTGACCACTTTCTGTAGGTTGGTGTTACTGTCCTTCACACCCTAAGATTCCTGTCATGAGAGGAAACTGACTTGTTGAGAATTTGTTCTTGTGAGTCACATTTGATGTATTAAAACAAATTGACCAACCATCAATGGAAAGCAATTCAAAATCAACAAATTGAGTCAAAAAAGTCAAATGATGGGCATACGACCCTAACGCAGTGTCCACACGGCGGTGTGCGTTGAAGCTTGCCGGTGGGCTTGTCTGAAACTCGACCAACAACCAATCACATGAATCTCCCGCCCTTACACCCCCCCCCCCCCTTTTACTCAACCCTGAGTCTCCTCACGCGTGGGACGATGATGTGCTTTCTCCAGTTCCCCGTTTTTCCAATGTATTTATTTACCCACTTATACAGGGAATAAATCAAGGTCAGCACACAATGCCGCACACGGCTATTAAGATTCATTGTAATGCAAATTCTCCTGAAGCGAGTGTACTACATTGACAGGTACTGACACGCCAAACAGTCACACACACACACATGCAAAGACACACACGTTTACTAACTTAGAGTCTATTTACCCGTCTCCTTCTGTTTTTTTATCTCTTCAGTATTCTTTACATTATTGCAGTCAATTTGACATCTATGCTTTAAAGTATAACCGATAGTGTTTCAAAGTTCTGTTCTGGAAAGACCATTCAAAAACTGATTTTGCTAGATGGTCATTCAATTGTTAATCGGAGTTATTTTTTTTCTGTAGGACTGTTGCATGCTGTTTAACTTTTTCTTTGAACCAGGAGTTTACCTCTGAAGTTTTGCATGTTAGTTGTCAGTAAGTTCAACAAAATGTGATAACTGAAACACAATTTTAATTTTTTATTTGGCCAATAGTTCATTGTACTGCAAGTTCAAAGTTTGTTCAAATATGGCGTGTGGAAAGTGCCTTAATATTGCACATAAAATCCAAAATGACCAATTTCCTGTTGGGTTTACGATATGCCACCAAGAGGATTTTTTGTGGGTCTCACCATGCTTCATATGCCCACCAAATGTCCGACTTGTATATGAAACTACAACAAGGGGCTCAATTTGAGCAACTTTGTACAATCACCGATAAAGAGACACTTAAAATATGACATTTTGTAACACTCCTAACAAATGTGCCAAAAAACTCCAGCTTTTAAACATGTTAAGGCCCGTACAAACGCGATTTATTCACGCAAATAATAACAACTGTAGAGATTTCAAAAGGTCCTTCGCTCTATCTTTCTGGCGGTGCCTGGACTCTAAAAATAACAAAAATACAAATACAAATAAAAAAATACTACAAAAATATAAAATCATAATTTAAAAATCATAATTCGAATAAAATAGATAATCTTTTGAACCCCAATAGGATCCTTCAACCCCACGTTGTCGGTGCTCGGACCCAAATAAGGAGGGATAAACACTTGTCTTGTCATGTAACATCCCAGAATCCATTAGTAATCATTGGTCATGTTGGTCACTCTATTAATCTTCTGATAATGAGTACGATGATACATTTTTCATTCATATCTAAAACATGTCTCCATCCAGAGTGAATGAAGAGGGAAAGTTTATCACACGAAGTCTTCACTCTGCACTTGCATTTTTACCTGATAAATTCATGTTGTTACTGTGGCGTCAACAGACACACCGTGTGCATGTTTGTGTGTGTTTTGCATTATCATAACCTTTGCATGTGTAGTGAAGTGTGAGTGTGTGAGTGTGTGAGTGTGTGTTTGTGTATCTGTGTGTGTGGAACTCCTGGTGAATCTGTCAGAGACTTCAAAGCACTCGCCGCCTCTCTCCTTGATGAACGAGCTGCTCCGATGTTTATCGTGACCTGCTTTTCAACTCAGGGGCTTCACAAAAAACATCAAGGAATGGAGGGCTTACTGGGATAAAAAGGAGGGGGAAGAGAAAATACTTTGGGATAAATACTGAGAATATAAATAGTGTCTGAATCGTGGGGTGGCCCTGAAAGTAAAATAAAAGGACATGCGGCTTCCTCCTATGTGTTGTGATACACATACTGTCATATATTTGTGTGTTCATTCTCAGTTATATTTGTCACAGTTTTAAATGCTACATCGTTAACCACTGGGGAAGTAATGGCAATCAATTAAAGGCTCCATATCCTAATGTCGCTCAAATACATTTACACTGCGTTACGCTTGATAATAGCAGATATTTGAGTATATTTGTATCTTGTTTACATTTTACTATAAAAAAAGCGGGGATGACTTCCCAAAGCCACAAACAGCAGGTTAGTGCATTGGCAGCACATAAACTCAACCGGTGGTGTTTGCAGGTGAGAAGCCAGTGAGGGATCCAGGTGGATAAAATAGCTTTTGATACATTCACTAGAGTTGAATGCTTCAAAAATAATGTGAACTTTCACACACTTAACAGGTTAAAAAGTCACATTTTCCATGAAGAAATGCGTCATGAGGGCAATAAATACAGTGTGTTACGAAGAACAATTAGGGGGATTTTAATGGCTGCGATAAATACAGCCTTTTAAATTAAACGCCATTACACAGGATATCATTAAAAATCTAATCTCATTGAATTGCATATTTCTGAGTGTGTGTGCCTCTGAGTATATGCATGTGAACTTATCGGGGACAGGCATGGGAACGTTTCATTCTTTCCAATGCGTTTAAAATGTCAGTAATCTAGAATTAATTGTAACTATTCGCTTTGTTGTAATTTCACCAATCCAATTTCATGGTTCTTTCAGCACCCTTGAAGTTTAAGCACCTTAAAATGGCCTTCTATAACATTAACAAGAAAAAGGTTAGGGAAACACTGCATCGGTAAACTAACACTCGGCATTCTGGGAAAAACATAAATTACTAGGAAGAAGCAAACACACTGCTGCTGCTGCTTTCTGAGGGTATATGCAAGCTTTACCCCTGTCCCATTTACCACAGCAGAAGCCTATTAACGGCCTGGAAAGAGAATATATTTATCAGAGCCCCCTCCATTATTAATCAGTGCGGAGTTAAAAGTGAATATGTATCAGAGCAGCTGAATAAGGTTGAAACACTGTCTGGATTCTGAGGGTCTCACTGGGACTATCAACAGTTCAGAGCCTTTCAGCCCAAATCTGAGTATGACTTTCATCTCCCCTGCTCCACGGTCTCTACGGTTACAAAGCCTGTAATTATACATAGATTTGGAAGAGGGGGGTCAGGAGGGGGGTAAGTCCTAAAATGAATGAGGAGATGACACAGTTTTCAAAGGGTTGAAGCAGCGTTGATATGCACAGCTTCCAATGGGCACGCCTATCTAAATGCATGGCCTGAGTGATTTTGGGAGAGCCTTTTCTCTCTCTATTTACTCTGTTTACTCTCCATCTCTCTCTGTAGCCTGTGAGATGGGTTTCTATAAGCCGGTGGCGGGCGATGGCCTTTGTGGAAAATGTCCTCAACACAGCCACTCGGAGACCAGAGCCGCCCTGACCTGCCCCTGCGACTCCAACTACTATCGAGCGGCGGACGACCCAGTAGCGGCTCCATGCTCCCGTAAGAACAAACACACAACACACACAACACACACAACACACACAACACACACAACACACACAACACACACAACACACACATAATCACCTAATCCCACAGGCAAGACCCTCTCCAATTCATAACTACAAATACGTATGCCGACACCTGCACACCCACAACAGCCATCTAACTTAATATATACCGAATGGGACGATAGGTGGGAAAAATGGTACTCATGACTCATGGTAAAATGTGACAACTATTGTTAAACTGTTTTTTTTTCTCTTTTTCTGATTTCTGGATTGTTATTAAGTTAATTAAAGAGGCCCTATTTTGTGTTTTGGGGTTTTCCCTTTTTCTGTAGTGTGTTATATAGTTTGTTGTGCATGTAAATGGTCAACATCCATGTGTTGTCTCCAGAGGGAGTTTTTCTCCCAAACACTCCACCGACCCTACACCAATCACAACAGAGACGGACAGCTAACCAATCAGAGCAGACTGGGCTCTGGTTTCAGACAGAGGGTGAAAAGAGGTGCTGCAGCACAGGCAGTATGAGAAAAATAAAGAGCTTTGGAACACTAAAGCATGGAGACATGTCACAGGAGAGACACTTAATACTAATATGACCCTGAACATTTGCAGAATAGGGCCCATTTAATGTTTATTAATCAGTGATCAAACCAGTAAATTAACCAAGACTTTCCTTTTCTCCAGGCCCTCCAACTGCTCCGGTTAACGCCATCTCCTCTGTCAATGGAACGTCTGTGAATTTGGAGTGGGATCGCCCTCTGGACACAGGAGGACGCAGCGACCTGAAGTACAGCGTGTTGTGTCGGAAATGTTCAGGGGAAGGAGGGACCTGTGAGGATTGTGCGTCTTCCCCCGGAGGCGCCAGTGGAGGGAAGGGAGGCGGAGGGCCGGGCCTGGGGTTCGGAGGCATGGTGGAGCGTCTGGGCTCTGCAGCGATTCGATTCGTTCCCCGGCAGAGTGGGTTGACGGAGCCCTGGGTGACGGTGCTCAACCTGGTGGCTCACACCAACTACTCCTTCTGTCTGCAGGCCATGAACGCAGTGACGCATCTGAGCAACCAGCCTTCCCCTTACGCCACGGTCAACATCACAACGAACCAGGCAGGTAGGGTTCGGAACAATGATACAACATTTTCTCAGTAAAAAAGCTTTGGTGCATGTTCCAGAAATAATCATTTTAGGGAACAACCTGTTACTGTACTGTCCTGGGTTCTGATTTAGTTTCCACTCTTGGTAGGAATACAGCAGCAGCTAGAGGAACATCTCTAAAAAACCGACCTAACAATACCTACTCAAAACCAACAGCAGTCAGAGGCCTAGGCTCCACGAGGACGAAAACGGGTTGAATCCGCATATTTCTCATGCGTATAGCCCTTTAAGCTCAACGACGCCGTAACAGAAACGTAGAAACAGACCCCGCAAACGACAACGGGTCCAAAGGTGGATAGATCTGGGAACGGAGCGCTCTGGGGGGTCCAACGGGGCCGTGGGGTCGCCTATACAGTCATCCGCTTCATAGCCCCGCCTCTCCCCGCCTCTCCCCACCTCTGCTGCTCACCCCCGCAAAAGTACACTGCACACTGAATTCAGATTATTTATCTTTATCTCGATATGAACATAAACGCGAGTGAAGTCTAATCTGACAGGACGGAGACACGCAGCTCCTCCGGCTGTGAAGCAGCGGGAGCAAAACACACACTTCAAGTCAGATCATCACCCTTAGCTATTTTAATTACCTCTCAAACTAAACTAGTTATAAATATGTTTATTTTTACTGTCGGGTTTACTTACTGGATCAGCTGCTGCATGAGGAAGCATGAAGATTTAAACTTTAACACACATTGACCGGCGAAAAACTCTGCGCGGTTCCCTCCGCCCCCACCGCGGAGAATAAACAGAAGTGCAGCCATGACAACCATTCTTCTTCGCTGCTTTTGTGGAGGAAGTTGCTGCTTTTGTGGAGGAAGTTACAGCGCCACGTACAGGTTCGGCATATGTACTGCAGCTTTTCCAGCGGTTGGATGTAAACGGAGCCGTCTCGTGGAGCTTGACACAATCCGGTGTATATTGCGTGTGGGCGGAAGGTTTTTTGCGGTTGCATTTGCGTTACTCCGATGCGTTTTGCCGTATGGGTTCCCATGGAGCTGGGGCCAGAGACTAGTGAACAAAGCAGGGCATATAGCAACTAGATCCAAATATCTTTCTAAGATTTTGATAAAGACCAAAAACCGAACTAAAATAGGTCATATTGGATTTATCCAATTAAAATTGTGATATATATATGACATATCATCGCTTATACTGCCCAAAAGTTTCTCAAATATCGGCCATAATACAATTAACGAAAAAACGTAACATGATGTAACGTTACTACTTCTAAATTATTTAACATTCTCAGTCATTAACTTTTTTTCCCAACAAACCGAACAGACTACATTCAATTTTCTCCTGCAATTTCTTAGTCATTCTCTGTGGGCCCATTCAATTAATGATACTCATGTTGAAAGTAATTCCGTGAAAACATACAAAAAAGTCATTAAAAAGGCCACATATTTCCCCTTTCGCCTACAACTGCATGTGCCAACTATACAGCCCAACTGAATGACACGTATCTACCATAAGCCACTGTTAACCGTTAACCTGTAGATACCATTAGCCTCAATGGCCAAATTCTGACGTTTTATGTTTTAAAAAATCCCTGGGGTGCCACTTAAATAACAACATGATAAAAGGTTGTTATGGAATTGTTGGCCAATAACATACACAAATAACACGCCTCCCCTGTATGCAAAAGTAGTTTGTGTGTGTGTGTGTGTGTGTGTGTGTGTGTGTGTGTGTGTGTGTGTGTGTGTGTGTGTGTGTGTGTGTGTGTGTGTGTGTGTGTGTGTGTGTGTGTGTGTGTGTGTGTGTGTGTGTGTGTGTGTGTGTGTGTGTGTGTGTGTGTGTGTACACAAAAACTAGGCTACATTAATCTGAGCTCTTCTCCCTTGACCACAAATCTCCTCCTCAATGTTCTTGAGCTCAGCTAACTTTTCCTTGCAGCCCCTCCTCAGAGCATTTATCTTTTGTTATGAGCGAGGCCGTCCGACTGCCAGCCTTGTCCTCAGCTTCTCCTGCAAAACCTGTCTGGCCAGAAACTTTCAGAAACTTCTTGGATGGTTCTCCTTTTCATTTTTAGTTCCTCCCGGTAAATCCTCTGTAGGCTTTCTCTTCGGGCGGTGTGCATCAGACTCCTGCTTCCTCCTCTCTTGATCGAGGTGCACATGGTAGCCTTGACTTGGCTGTTGCCACAGAAGCTTGCTTGTGAGGGGAATCTGGTAAATTGACACAATAACACACGAGCCTGTGTGCAGCAACAGTGTCCTCCTACATGTTGCAAGTCTCCACATCCTTGTTTACAGAAAACCCTGTATCCTCAGAGGCCTGACCATGGGACAAAACGAGCCGCTTCTGTCTCAAAGCCCAAAGCTGCAGTGTAGCGCTTGCTAAGGAAACAACACAGGAGGATGTCAATGCTTTGGCTGGAAGGAGAGAAACTCATCCTTTCTGCTCTGAAGGGACAGGAAGGGCTGAAACTATTGGAAAATGATATCACCTATAAGAAAACAGTCAATGTAGCTACAACTGATTATAGTGGTGAACAATGTCAAAGACTATTCCAATACTAGCCAGCACTTTTTAACACAGAAATGTTGCGTACTCCAAAGTTTAGAAATGTGTGTTTGTGTAGTATGAGTCCCCAGAATTTAGAACCACTGTGGACAATTTATTTTCAAATAGATAAGCAATCTGTCCAACACAAACGATCCAGCGTCTTCTAAAACTTCAAAATCAACTCAAAACTCGGCCTGCTGTGAGTGCAAATATGACCGCAAATATGACCGCAGCTTCCAACTGTTATTTTGTATCCTGAACATGTCAGAAGTAGATTCAGCATCCTCTATCACTCCAGAAATCAATCAATCAAAGTGTATTTATATAGCCCAATATCACACATTTTACATTTGTCTCAGTGGATTTTATAGTTTGTACAGAATATGAATACGACACCCTCTGTCCTTGGAACCTCACATCGGACAAGGACAAATTTAAGAAACCTCTGGGAGAGTCCAGGACGGACAGACGTGCAATAGATGTCGTTAGCTCCGATATAGCTATCATGCTAAGCAATGCTACTTAACTTAACTTGTGCTAATTATGCAAATTGCGCAACATTAGAAGTAAGCATCTGTGAGTTTCTTAATGTTGGGGATCCACTGTAGAAACTGTCCTGAGATATATATAGAAGTCTTCACTATTTGTTCAGATGTGCAAGATGCTTAAATGTTTTTCCTGAAATGCAGCATGACTTCAGCAGGTTGATCTTGTTACATGTCATAAAGGAATCCGTCTTGAACTGACGAAGCGGTTTTCCCTCCTGTTTCTCGTGCAGCCCCCTCTGAAGTGTTAGCGATCCGCCAGGAGAACACCAGTCAGAACAGCGTGATTCTGATGTGGCACGAACCCAACCGGCCCAACGGAGTGATCCTGGAGTACGACGTCAAGTACTATGAGAAGGTAATCAACTGCATCTGTACCACTAAAGAACTGCAAGAAATAAATAAGCCCTATTATGCTTTGGGGGGATTTCCCCTTCCCTGTAAGATAAGATAAGATAAGAAGTACTTTATTGATCCCATGTTGGGACCTTTTTTATGTTGCAGCAGCATAACAAGACGTTGGCATTGCACAATACAATTAAAAGACAAGAAATACACATTTAAACATGTCAACATCTCAATAGCAATAAAATAGCAATAAAAAAAAGTAGAAAATATACATGTTGAATTACAAATGTACAATGACAAAATATAAAGCAGGATATTAGATATACATAAGTATGTGAGTAATGGAATATTACATATTAGATTGGATATACATGTGAAATGTACAGGTGATTTAGAGTCCAGAGTGATTTGTTATGTAGTGTGTGATATAGGTTTTTATGCATGTAAATGGTCTGCAATTTACTTCTGTATCATAGTGACATCACTATGTAACCCTTGTGCTTGTATTGGCTCGAGCTCCAACAAATTGTACATGATAGGCTAAGGGGCGGGACATCTCTTAGTGTTTGACCAATCACACCAGAGCATGCCAGTTAACCAATCAGAGCAGACTGGGCAAAATAAAGAGCTTTTTGAACATTAAAACATGGAAACATGTCACAGTAGCAACACAAAATACAAATATGAACCTGAAAATGTGCAGAATATGTCCTCTTTAAGTGTTGTGTCAACATATTCTGCTTATTATCAAAAAACAGCTACACCTGGAGAACATACATGGTCTTCAAAGGGTTGAGACTAACCTGAGCCAAGTTATTTTGAATTCAACGGAGTGGTTTGATAGACCAAGGATAACTTAATCCCAGAAAAAGATCCTGCCGGCTTCCCAGTTAATTGAAAGGGAAATGGGGGTCGAGAGAGTTAGAGCAGGAAGGAGGATGAGACGGTGTGGATTCCACCTTAGCGAAAGTGACAGTGACAGCAAGCGGCTGGCGGGCGCATAAGCCTCGACACCGACTAATTGCTGCGAGTGTGTGAATGCAATGCAGATGTATATGTGTGTGTGTGTGTGTGTGTGTGTGTGTGTGTGTGTGTGTGTGTGTGTGTGTGTGTGTGTGTGTGTGTGTGTGTGTGTGTGTGTGTGTGTGTGTGTGTGTGTGTGTGTGTGTGTGTGTGTGTGTGTGTGTGTGTGTGTGTGTGTGATGATAGTAATCAGCTAATTGCAGAGGGAGCAGCCAGGAAACAGGCAGTCTCATAGCCATACAAGCAGCATGGTGTGGGGAGTGATGGAGGATTAGCTCGTCTCTTGCTCCGGTGTCTTAATCTGGCTTCGCTCAGGGGGGCGAGACGCCTGTGGGGGATTTGAAGTGGACAAGTCAGCACTGTGCTTTCCTAAGTCTTTCTATTCGACTGTACCAAACACGATGAGTCACAGCGAGGGAGCTGCTGCAGCACACAAGCTGAGGAGGATAACGAAGACAACAAAATTCTCCTTTTCCTGCACCTCTTCATAATTAGGCTCTTATTCTTCCTAAGGACACATGAATGATTTAATGATTCTGCTGTCTGGATGCACCTTGCACCTCTTATTACTGTACCTCAGTGCTTCTCAGAATTCAGTTTACAAAGATGCTGCAGCAGGTATAAGGAAAACAAGGTGAGGATAGCAATGACGATGATTATGATAATGGTGAACTGTATTATAAATCCAAACTTCCAAAAAAACAATTATGTACCTTCAAAACAATAAATGAATCCTCTTTTTGATGAATATGCACGTGAAAAAACAAATCCTTGGATGACAGATGAGTGTAATAAGCGCGCATTTGAACAAATTATGCATCATAAGTGAGTTATCTGAATGAAGTTGAGACAAAATAGGACAAACACTCTTCAAAGTACCTGTTATTCTTCTAGCTGATAGACACAGATCAAAAGATGTTTGCGGTGAATAGCTGCCAATTACATTTGATTGGCATGTAACAGCATAGAGTATAATTAAGTTTAAATCCTGAAAAGGCTTTTTTATGAATGGCAGATCTGTGTTTTTGAAGATGTATTTTCAAAACACTCTGAGACAAATGGCAATGCAAATATTTGTTAAAAAAATATCTTTAAACCATAACCATATCGACTCAAAGTGTAATTGACTATTGCCCATGAAAATATGTCATTCATGATGAAAATAAGAAAGAAAATGATGTTGGGAATGAGGTAAACTGCTAATTCATTTACAGCAAAATATCCCTGTTTCCCATGTTGATCATTTTAGAAACCAGTGTTCTTTATTAGTCTCACAGCGGGGATATTTACAGTGTTACAGCAAAAGTGACAATGCCGAAAAAAGGAACAAAAACACAAACAGAAAGCCAAAACATTAAACATATTACAAGCACAGACCAACATGTCAATTTCCCCAAAAGCTAATCTTTAAACTGTCTCTGTTTCAGGATAATGAAGCCCACAGCTACTCCACTCTGAAGTCTATAAACACCAGCGCTCGAGTGTCAGGGCTGAAGCCGGGAACTAAGTACATCTTCCAGGTCCGAGCCAGAACGTCAGCAGGCTGCGGACACTTCAGCCCAAATGTGGAGATCCAGACTGGGAAAGCAGGTGTGTGTGTATGGTAGACCTTAAGGAACTGTTAAGTATGTGCAGCGCAGGATGGACCCAAGTTCAGACAGACACATGTTTTAACCGAAACTAACCTTTATTCAAGGCGACTGGATAAATGCAAAACAGACAAGAACTCTCTTTCCTTCTTAATTGCAAAAAGAACCCACAAAACCCCAACAGAAAACCAGAACTTAAAGGTCCCCTATTATACTGTTCTTCACCAATATATTATAGGCCTCAGATATATACAAAACATGTCTCTGAAGTGTTTGGCTCCAAATACCAAAACAGATCATAGCAGCATCCCATAATCCCCTCTGTTTCAGCCGTGTTTCAAAAGTGCTGATTCTCTGTCTGTTACTTTAGATGAAAATAAGGAGCCACTCCCCACGCCCCCTCTGAGAGATATTTGGTTAGAAAGAACACAATAGCCGCGTTCACACCGGAGTATTTTTCACCGTACTTTTCGCGTTTAGTTCCGTTAGTACCCCTTATGTCGCGTTCACACCAAAAAGAGCACTTAATCTCGGGAACTTTTACCCCCATTTTTAGTGCCTGCTGATAGATGGTACTTTCCTGGGGTAAAAAAGGTCCCCAGTTCTGATTGGCTGGGCGAATTGCAAACCACGCCCCGTAAAACTCTGAAATGTTTTGTAGAGCCGCCATTTTATTGTCCTCGCATTAGCATTATTAGCATTAGCATTCGCCCAGCGCACAAACGCAGAGAGACTAACTTATGGCAACACAAAATAAAACATGGGAGCGGTGGAGATGAGGAGGTGTCGGCGTTCTGGCGATTTACTCGGAAGGCTTCAGTAAAAGCTGCTGGGAGTCCCAGCAGCTTCTACTGAAGCCAGTCCCCAGCTCCGGGGACTTCCGGCCGGGGACTCCGGGTGGCAGTATACGCCGTGAAGTTGTTTGCGGCCTGCCAGTAAACCCAAAGCAGAAGAAGAAGAAGTGACGTCAGCGGCTCATTTGCGCAATCTTCCCTCAGGGATAAGTACTCCGGTGTGAACGCGATCTGTACTAAATGCCCTGGGGTAATAAGTGCCGGGGCACTGAGTGCCGGCACTAAATACGGCAAAGTACTTGGTGTGAACGCGCCTATTGGTGCTCTAGGAGGAGATTCAGGTGATAAGGTGGGGGTACCTTGGTTGGTGATTGGCTAATGATTACACTAGCCAAACAATCGTTATGACATCATAAAGTGGCCAAAATCTGATCAGCTAATTTTCAGACAGGTTTTTATATAAATGGATCAGGACAAAAAGAGAGAGAATCTTTTTTCCTGAAACTTTCAGAGTCTCTTTACAAAGAGGGGACACATGTTGATGTAGAAGAGACATGAAAGAGTGGATTTTGCATAATAGGTGACCTTTAAATACATACATGATCAATCAAGATGAATAACGCAAAATTGTAAAAGATACTTGGTTAAAGTACTTGATTACATTTCACCACTGGAAAAATAGTCCAATAAGAAAACAGTTGGCACAGAAAGCCTTTCAGAGCCAGCAGACTGCACAGCATGGTCCTGGGCTAAAGTCACAGGGAGGCCAATCACCACCTCCGTCCATCCTCTGTTCAATTGATCCAAGCTTTGTCAGGTCAGCCCTGTCAGCAAAACAGCAGCCTTTCCCAGCTACAAACAGCTGTACACACAAAGCCGGGGGTGGGGTAGACGTCCACCTGAGGCTAGTACACCACTGAGAGCTAGGAATTACTAAAAAACTATCTTTTATTAGAACATTTCTCTTTCCTAATAGGGGATTTGGCAGATAACGTGCAGAGAAGTCTCTAGGTCTGCAAAGCTCAACCTCCTGCCTGGTTGGAGTCCCAGTGCTGTTACATTGACTAATAGTCTCCCTTCATTCTGCTGCTCACTGAGCCCAGACCCTCCTCCTCTTGATGCTGATTCATTTTCCGACTCCGAAAACAAGCACACAGCCCACTACCCGACATGCTGAGTAATCAATAAGTGTAAAAGTTAAGGAAAACCACACTGACTAGGCTTTTTGTTGTGTCTTTTCTCTGTATCTGAGCAGTACCAAAGCCTGCCTAAGTGGTACATGGTAATGTGACTGAAATAACATTGTATTCTCTCTAGGGTTAGGGTTAGGGGGGTCAGTCTGTCAGAAGGTCCGTCCTTAATTTGATTGGAATGAAATATCTCTTTCATGGATTGCCAAGACATTTTGTACAAACCTGATTTTCTTGATTCTTATCACAAAACCAACATTGTCTCGGACCCCAATCATGTCCTAAAACAGTGAATATGAACTGCTCCCCTTGTGCACCAGTCAATCCTTAAATTAAATACAGAGATAAATCCGAGGTCGAATCTACGTTAAAGGGTCTTGAATATTGTCTTCGTGATTGTAATAGTATGTTTAATGTCTGTTGCTGGTATCTTGAATTGTCATGTGTCCCTGTTGATGTTGCAAATGGAGCTGCTGTGAAGCAAGATTCAGACTATCTGATACAAATATTATTGTATCGTAATTATTCCCCTTATCAAATGAAATCTTTTATTTTAGCCTAGCTCTATTGGATTCAAACCCCCTTAGAGGTTTTGTATCACTTTTGGTTATCCTGACTTCTGGTCCATTGTTTGAATTTGTTTCAAACTTTGGTTGATGAATAAAAGGCTGTACAACTAAAAGTGATATCAGCGGTATTGTTAACTAATGTGTTCGGCTGCTAAGAAAATATAGTCATGCTAACATGCTAAATTTAGATGGATCATGATAAACATTATTCCTGCATATCATTAGCATGCTAGCATTTTCATTTTAAGAATTTTCACATAATAATGTTTGCATTTAGTTCATAGGGCAACTGTGTTACAGTTGTTTTTACTCTCCATGTTCTGTTTATTGTATGTGTCTTTTAGGTATAAAGTATTTTATTTATATTCACCTATTAGTCTTGCAAAATGCACCATTGCAAAAATGCACCATTCACACACTGATTCCTACGCTGATGGCTTCCATCAGGATCTAATTGAATGCTCCTTCTCACACACACTCACACCATAATAGCTTTTCCACCTAAAGCAATTTGTTGAATTAGTTGGTTTAAAGCTGAATTAAATGTTAATGTACCGTCATTAACATTTTAAAACTGGTCATTCTTACTGCCTTTTGAAGAACTAAGTGTCGTTCCAAGTTCATACTGAATACCGTTCAATTGTTAGACCTCATAGAACATTTCAATAACTGTAAGAAAGAGCTGCATATAATGTGATAAAGAATTGCATGTTAAAGGATGTATTTGTCCATGCGTTAACACACACAAAGCAGTGAGGCTTAAGAAAAATGTATGCGATATGCACTTAATAATTTTAGCTAGGGTTGTTTTTGCATTAGAAAAAACTATACTTGCAAATGTAAATGTAAATGTAAATCTGCAAACTCTGGATTGTTGGTAGTACTTTTTGTCCTAATTTTTGTCCTCATCTAAAACATGAATCTATGTGTGTGTTTCCAGCTCCTCTGCGCTACAAAACCATGACCATCATCTGGATCTGCATGGCCTTGGTGTCCGCCCTGGTCACCTGCATGGCCATCATCATCTGCAGGAAACGGCAAGGCTACACTTTACCACACTACCCATCGCTGCTGTGTGTGGAAAACTTTCTTACGCTATCGTATCTCTCTGTGTATTGTTTCTTGTTATCAAAGCCCCTTGTGCACTGTGTTTCTCCTGCTTTCCCCACATTAAGTAATGGCTCAAGAACAATGAAAATAACATGTTAGACTCAGCATGAAAATCCCTATGTAAATATATTTTTGACTGTGTGCTTATGCCAATACTAATATTGGCAGAAATAACAAGTAGTTGATAGCAGAAGCTGCATACCTTTTCTGGGGTTATGAATAAATAAAACAGCCTAAACCTGAGTTTTAGTTTTTAAAAACAAAACTCCAACTGAGCTTCCTGTAGGGATAAAGTAACTCCATGGAGTTGCCAGTCAAACAGAATGATAAGTTAGTCTCCAAAGATAGGGCCTTCCTTGAGGGGGTTATTTCTGTTTTCATCTTATTTTTGCAGGGTCCAATGTTCCCAGAGTCCTTTGTTTCCAGGGCCCTATGATCGAGGGGTCCTATTTTCCCCAGCTTTATATAAAACCTTTTGAAAACGTTTACAGTGTGTCTACATAATATTAAACCAAGGAACATACAATGTTGGAAACATAGGGCCTTGGGAACATTTCACTTTGGGAACATTTCACCTTGGGAACATTTCACCTTGGGAACATTTCACCTTGGGAACATAGGGCCTTGGGAACATTTCACTTTGGGAACATTTCACTTTGGGAACATTTCACCTTGGGAACATTTCACCTTGGGAACATTTCACCTTGGGAACATAGGGCCTTGGGAACATTTCACTTTGGGAACATTTCACTTTGGGAACATTTCACCTTGGGAACATTTCACCTTGGGAACATAGGGCCTTGGGAACATTTCACCTTGGGAATATTTCACCTTGGGAACATAGGGCCTTGGGAACATTTCACTTTGGGAACATTTCACTTTGGGAACATTTCACCTTGGGAACATTTCACCTTGGGAACATAGGGCCTTGGGAACATTTCACCTTGGGAACATTTCACTTTGTAAACACATGTCCTTGGGAACATTTCACCTTGGGAACATTTCACTTTGTAAACACATGTCCTTGGGAACATTTCACCTTGGGAACATTTCACTTTGTAAACACATGTCCTTGGGAACATTTCATCTTGGGAACACAGGGCCTTGGGAACATAAAGCATTGGTACCATAGGCCCTTGGGGACAAATAACTTTGGAATAGGGCCTTTGGAACATATAACATTGGGAACATTTCATCTTGGGAACACAGGGCCTTTGGGACAAATGACTTGGGAACAAAGGACATTGGGAACATAAAGCATTGGTACCATAGGGCCTTGGGAACATATACCCTTGGGAACATAGGGTCTTGGGAACATTTCACTTCCGAAACCTTTGTCCTTGGGAACACGGGGCCTTGGGAAATAAAGCATTGGTACCATAGGGCCATGGGAACATATAACCTTGGGAACATAGGGCCCTGGGAAAATAAACACTCCCGATTTTTTTAATTTAAATTATCTTTACTCTCCCTTGTCATGTTGAAATGTTCAAAATGCCAGAGCTAACACAACATCTGATTCATTAACTATCAGTTATAAGGATCATGATTAGAGAGGAGTTTTGTAAACCAATGATTTAGCTTCTCTCTTCTCCTAAACACTCCCTGTCCTCTCACTGTCTCCTTTAGCAAATTTCAGAATGTGTAATTTCCACCTCAAAGTGGATTTAATTATGTTAATTCATGTCCAGTAGCTTGAAAGCCAAACGTTCCCACTTATCCCATCATCCCCCCACCCTTCTTCCTCTCTTCAACCTACATCTCTGTAGTACTGCATCAAATAATTAATTTCATTGGATGTAATTAATTCATACTTCAATGCATATTAACATTTCATTACCATTCTGTTTGAGGGGGAAAACGATGTTGGGGGATTTAAAGATGTTATCCAGGAGAAATCAGCTTGTCATGACTGCTACGTACATTATTATTAATGCTCCTAAGATGAAATATCACAAAGATGACGAAGGTGGGCCACTTGCCAAATTACTATTAAACTGATGAGAAAATACAAACAACTCCCTAAGAAAGTTTTACTATTTACACAGGAGGTGAACCTGAATCATAATGGAAAAAGACTTTACAACACTGCAGATAAAATAAAGGATCACATTATTAAGTTACAAATTACATTGTTATCTTTATAAATAAAATAATGTGCTTATGCTAGTGGTAAGCTATCACTTAAGATAGTATTTACTAGAACGCTAGCATTGAGACTTATGGATGACTTATGCCTCTATATTATTACTTTATGAGACAATTTAGCTGATTTAGTAGCTGATTTGTGTCCAGAGCTTGAAGGAATAATACCAATAATGCGTTGTGAAAAAACGATTTATTGATATATGTATATGAAAAAAGCTATGAAAACCAACATGCTACAAGTCTATATAATTTAGCAGCACACATCATTATTATTATTATTATATAATAAACTATTTTATATAACACCTTTTAAACAGAGTTTTTATGCACTTTACATAAAAACAGATCACAATGAATTACAAAGATTGAAGCCATTCTAAAAAAGTAGTCAGAAACTGAATCACAGAGCTGTTTTACCGCACTGCGTTACTGTACATAAAGGAATTCTTAAATTATTATTAAACAAACAAAAATGACCCTATACCTAGTGTTTTGGAGTAGTAATGTTATTTGTGCAGAGTCATGGGAAATAGCTTGAATGACTGATGCTACATTCTAGTTGTAGCTTATATAGTAGCGTACTACTTTTGTTAATTCAACACAGTGTTAAAATTGACTCTTTAAGTGTTAAATTAACACGTAAAGGGAGGGATTTAAGTGTTAAATGAACACTTAAGTGTTAAATGAACACTTAAAGAGTCAATTTTAACACTCAGAGCCAGTGAACATATGGTCCTTATCTCAGAGTGTTAAATTAACACTCCGGATTTTACTGTGTAGTATTTCTGTATTTCTTACTGCTTCACTTAGGAATAGTTTATGGCTTCACCGGATACAATTTCAAAGTATAGATTCCCCAACATCGCTGATATGTGTTAACAACCTTTTTCTGTCTCTCCTGAATGTCTTTCCGAGATGTGTTTACTGTGCCTTCTTATCATAAATATTGATGTCTGTTGTTCTAACTTGAAAACATGGAAGAATAGAGAGTCGATTAACATAAAATGAAGCATCTTGTTAATAATAAGTTGAATGATTGGTTCCACATTGTTGCAAGTGGAAAACCTAATTAACAGGGAGAACAGCTGACTGGTTGTTCTTTATAAATAACTAACAATCACTTGTGATGAATAGCTCTGTTGAAGTTAATATTTCATTACTAACAATTATTGATTCATTAATTATGAGCTTGATAGTACAACATTGTCCTGTATTCATGCCACTGTATGTTTATGTGTTTGCATGTGTGTTTGTTTGGCTGCGTGCGTGTGTGTGTGTGTGTGTGTGTGTGTGTTTTATATAGACACTGTGGTTACAGTAAAGCCTTCCAGGACTCTGATGAGGAGAAGATGCATTACCAGAACGGTCACGGTATGTTTAGCCCAATCCTCAGTTCCAACCAATATATATCAATTAGATTGCATCCCCATGTACTGTAATAAAGTTCATCGTTAGAGCAAACACATTTCATAACTCGCTGAGTGATAACAGGGGCACACAGGCCTTATTTCCTGCAGGCTGTTTATTCTGCGAGTCATTTCTTCTCTTTCATCAACCCCCCCCCCCACACACACACACACACACAAGTGACAGGGGCTCAGATGTGATGTTGTTCTCATTCTCCGATATGTGACCAAATGCTAATTTTGTTTATCTTAGTGTCGTTCCCTGACGCGAGGTTTTATATCGACCCGCACACATACGAGGACCCCTGCCAGGCGGTCCACGAGTTCGCCCGAGAAATTGAAGCTTCCAGGATCAAAATAGAGAAAATCATTGGCTCAGGTAAAACCGTGTACACACACATACACACACACACACACACACACACACACACACACACACACACACACACACACACACACACACACACAGAGGGAGAATCATTGGCCGGGCTAACTTGAAATCATTGGCCGGTGTAAAGGCTGTGGTGTGCAGCAGAGAGGAGGATGGCAGTAAGGAATCAGAGCGTTTCGTGGAGCTGTCAATCAAAGTTCCTCCGACGGGCGAAGAATACTAACACTGTGTCAGCGCCACAATATATGACTCCTGCAGACATAACGCCAAATATTCAGTATATCATTGAGAAAAAACAAACAACAGCAATCATACTTAAAGTTCTGCTGGGCTCCAGATAAGAATGAATGAGAAAGAGGCTCATGAATGATTAGCTTACTTCCAGTTTTGCACATACATGTAACCGGTAAGTGGATTTGTTTCTCTTATCTAACACAGAGATTTAACTTCCTGTAGTCCTCTGGTAGAGTTTGACCCATTTTAAATGTTTTGTGATAAGAAGTATTTTCTGTCACAAAAATAACCATTACCACAAAAATAACATGGATGGTTTCATATTATGTTTTTTGTAAGAATTAAGATCGCTTCTTTCATTAAGTTGTGCGTGTTTCATTTACATTAATAGCATTTAGTGTCATTATGTGCTGCTTTGACATCTACTGTACCACTTTCATAATCCATTAAGATATGTTCCTGTGATCTTAACTATTGTACACCCAATGTTTGCCTTTTGTTAACTGGGTTTAAATGAGGTCTTTTGATCATAAATGCAAAGAAAGATTAGTAAAAATGGTGGTAATGAGTTGGAATGAAGTTGGATTTAAATGTGTAACCCAGGTTAAGGTGATGATTTATACAATATGCCACGATAACCAGGACAAACATTTCACAGTAAAGGGGAAAACAACTCAAAGACACATTTACAATATCTGCTTAAGAGTTAGGGGTGAATCTGGGCACATTGCATGTTGAAGTTGAGTAAACAACTGTAATGTCTTATGTGCTAAATTGGGATCATTGTTGTGTTTGTGTTAAGGTGAATTTGGGGAGGTGTGTTATGGACGTATGAGACTCCCGGGGAAAAGAGACATCCCAGTGGCGCTGAAGACCCTGAAGGCGGGATACACGGAGAAGCAAAAGAGGGACTTCCTGGCAGAGGCGTCCATCATGGCTCAGTTCGACCATCCTAACGTCATCCGCCTGGAGGGGGTAGTAACCCAAAGTATGCTTTATATCCTGTCTCCTACAAGTTATAGTTAGGATAAAACATCTGGAATATTACTGACCAAGATAAATAATAATTAAAAACAATATAAGTCTACATATTCAAGCTCACAAGCCTCATACACTGTAATGTTGTTTAGGGCTAGGGTTAGGGTTAGGGTTATGGAGAAAACCTGTGAAATTGTAGCCCCTTAACATGATCTTAATAGCTCTTCTTTTAATGTATAATTTGGATATCGATTATTTGAAGATAGGATAAGTATGTATTTAAGCTACCCTGTCTTACGTTAAATTACGTTAACCTACGATTCAATGGCTTTCTCAAATATGTTTTTTAGGAAAAGGTATACATTGAAAGAAGACACATTTGCTAGGTTATGTTTAGTAAAAGATCATGATCTGGCTTAATATAAGAACATTTGTTACCATATTTAAGTTACAGATGTAACATTTAAGGGGGAATTCTGACTTCATGTTTCACTAAAACATGGACAAAAGTTTTCCAAGTATCTTAATTTACAATTAGTCGTATGGCAACGTAATTTATAGGACACCTGGTTTGTGTTACAGAATACATTTTGACACCCTTTAACCTGTTAAACCCGGGGGCTGCGGGCTTTTTTTTCACAAAACTGTGTCTCAGGGCTTCTTAACATTTAACAACCTATGAATGTGGTCTTTTATATTTCCTCGGATCTGGACAAACAAGATATCATATGAAAGCTGAGATTCCACAGATTCCAATGGTATAAATATCATCACTGTGCGACCACGACTCGCGACTAGGGAAGGCAAAACCCCTAACCCAAAGACAACACACAACTTCACTTTACGTCTTACCTTTGCTGTTTTCTGATCAAAAATTGTGTGCAATGGCATTACAACGCATAAAACGCTGCTGACGGTTAATCCAATGTCTCTGTGTCCCTTTGAAATGATTACTGATAATCCATCTTCATATTTATGGCAAAAAGCCTAGTTTTCAGTTTTCAGAGTGTAACTCACTCTCACTCCTCAATGGTAACGTGTAGGTGGATTCTATTGGCTCTAATGGTTCAAAAGAGGTGTCAATCATCAAAATCGACCAATGGGTTCCAGAGATTTGGCAAATGCACCCAAATGACCCCAGAAGTGGGTTTTGTTTTGCTTAAACTCTCTAAAAAGGCAAATGTCACTTGTTTTGCATCAATCTTGATACAGGGGTACTTATAATATGTTATAGTTTGGATTCCTAAAGCTTTTAGTCTCCAATCCCATCATTCAAGGGTGGTTTTCACTGTAAGTAATTTTTTTTTTTGAACGGACACTATCATTTACATTTTTTCACAATGTTCAATCTGAATTTACTTTAAAATAAAAACATCTATATTGATTCTGACTCTTCTACATCCAACTCACAGGTTTATCATTATTTTGAGAAAAAATATTATTAATTTACCCCTTTTAGAAGTGAAGTTATAGTAATTTGTTCTGGGAATGTCATTTTCAAGCCTGAGACCTGGAAAACAGGCTCAGGGGTTAACAGGTTAAATGTGAACATACAGTTCTGTTCAGTGTAGATATGCAGTCTATCATACGAAGAGTCCTAAAGTTCTTGTTTATTTCTTTAGGCAAACCAGCGATGATCATCACAGAGTACATGGAGAACGGCTCCCTGGACTCCTTCCTCAGGGTTAGTGTTCAAGTTCTTTTGTCAAGGGTTTAAGGTTCCTCTTTGCATTTTATCTCAAGCGTTTACATTACATTTAGCTGACGCTTTTATCCAAAGCGACTTACAATAAGTGCATTCGACCAAGAAGATACAAACTTGAAGAAAACAGAATCATATAAGTACATCAGGTTTCACAGAGCCAAAACATTTCAAGTGCTACTCAACTGGCTTTAGATCAGCCAGTCCTTTGTAGTGCTTTGTTAGTAATTGTATTGCTCGAAGTGGAGTCGAAAGAGATGAGTTTTCAGTCTGCGCCGGAAGATGTGTGAGCTTTCTGCTGTCCTGATGTCAATGGGTTTAACCACAAACAGGTTAAAAAAAAACATTGACAAGGGAACTGGAAGTGGTAAAAAGCCTAGTCTTTTCCATGTTTTAGGGCTTGTTTCTGAACCCACATCACATAGTTGTTAACTTGTGAGCAGCTGAAAAAAAAGAAAACTGCAATGCTTTACTTAATGTGAAAAAGGCACTTCACATCGCTTTTTATTTATCACAGTATTACTTCCCAGGAAAAGGCAGCAGCGGCTCAGAAAAGCAAATGTGAACTTTATTTATTTTTTAACAAGATTTAAGTTCATTTAACATTGTGTTACATCGACAATGTCAAACAGCTCCGGTATTTGCTTATATGAAAATACCCTGGATTATTACTTAAAAGCAAATCCCTGTCATGTTTTATTCTCTTATCTTCACTCATTTCTCTATCTTGATTAAAATCTCTTCCTATTATCACTCCCCTCATCTTGTCTGCTGCTATACCATCATTTTTCATCTGCCATTAAAACTCTCTCTCCTTACCACCTCCCTCCCCATCTTTTCTCTCTTCTTCCCCCACTTCTTTCCACTTACTTATTCAAATAGTTATCCACGCAATAAACTGTATTTCATTTTGTCTCAATTTACATATGTTATGTCAATTCTGTTCTTGTACATATCATATTCTATTTACATGTATATAGACTTTTTGCACTACTTTTTATTTTGTATTTTTGTATTTTATTCAGAGATGGCAAAAGTACACACATCCTTTACCCAAGTAGAAGTACAGATACTCGTGTTTAAAAAATACTCTGGTAAAAGTAGAAGTACTGACTAAACTTCTTTACTCAAGTAAAAGTAAAGAAGTATGGGCTTTGAAATGTACTTAAGTAAAAAGTACCCATAACTACCAGCTGTTTTAAAGAGTACCTGACCTCCCTTTATATTAATAGAACAATAATGTCATTGTTAGCTAATGAATGTTTCCATGCTGAACAACGGCAACATGACAACGTTTTCATTGGTCCCTCTTCTTTAGAGAAGACCAGGAAATGATGGATACACGGATCGTGTTCAAATCAATAGGCACGCAATGACTCTAAATAATAATGATCACGCCACCAAACACACATTCAAACTAAAGGAACCAGCCTGTTTTGGAAAATGTAAGAAGTAGAAAGTACAGGTATTTGTGTTCAAAATGTAAGAAGTAGAAAGTACAGGTATTTGTGTTCAAAATGTAAGAAGTAGAAAGTACAGGTATTTGTGTTCAAAATGTAAGAAGTAGAAAGTACAGGTATTTGTGTTCAAAATGTAAGAAGTCAAAGTAAAAAGTCATCAGAAAAATAAGTAGTGGAGTAAAGTACTGATACCAATGTACTTAAGTACAGTAACAAAGTATTTGTACTCCACTACTTCCCACCTCTGATTTTATATGTTGCATTGTTGGAGGAGCTCAGATTTTGTGCATGTGACAATAAAACCGTTGAATCTTTTGACTCTTGAATCTTCCTGTAGAGACACGACGGGCAGTTCACCATCATCCAGCTGGTGGGGTTGCTGCGTGGCATCGCGGCCGGTATGACCTACCTGTCTGAACTGGGCTACATCCACAGAGACCTGGCGGCACGCAACATCCTGGTCAACAGCAACCTGGTGTGTAAGGTGTCTGACTTCGGCCTGTCCAGAGTGCTGGAGGACGACCCCGACGCTGCATACACCACCAGTGTGAGTTTTCACATTGAGGCAAGCAACGATGCAGCACACATTAACACACCTGCCACACACACACACACACACAAATTACCTTTTAAAAGAAATGTTAAGGGAGCAGTAATGTCATGAAATTGATCAAACTATTTAAAATGGCACAAATGACTGTACTTTGTTAGTAAACATTATATTTCAAAGGTATAACATCAACCAATCGAACACAAAGGATGCACCAATCTGACCTTTTCGCTTTTTCTGAATGATGTCCTGTCTTTCTGACATTTTCTTGAATACCAATGATGTATTTTTTTCATTTTATGTAATGTCGGTTCTCATATTTCTTAACCACAAGGATACTTCTTTTATTTCAGTTTCAGCTTCCTTATACAGACATAAAGTATTTCCACCTTCGTCAACTGCTCTCTATTTCCATTTAGCTGTATCTAATTTACATGGTCCTTTCAAGGAAATACATGATGAAAGAAGATTACAAATGGGAATAAATAAAAAACATGTATTTGAATAAATAAATACAAAGGAAGAGATGGTGGGGGGGGGTGACGCACTAAGCTTTTTACATTTAAATGTAATTAAAAAATCTATCTGTTGACAAAAAGTTTATAAACTGCACTTATAGAAAGATATTAACCTGACCTCAGAAAAAAATTGATTAAGATAAATACTATATATATATAAAAAGCCGTGCTTAAAGACAACATGACTTTTCTCTGGACTTTATTTTTTATAGCCATTTCATTTATCAAATATTTCTTCATATTTTGCAGTGACTGACACGTTTTTTCGTGTATTAATTTCTTATTTAGCGTTGTTATATAACTTTTATCTAAGAGGGCAGTTCCACTGAAATCTGGATGGCGAACAATAATCCAGTGGCGAACCGTGTCTATTACAACTGGACCTTCTGTAAACACACACACCCCCGCCACCACTGAAATGCGTAGTGCATGGTCCAAGAAGGACAAACAAATCAACGTAACACTAATATTACAGATCAACAACACACATACGATTCTCATTTATTCATTTTATATACATTTTATTACATTTTATTTATATAATTAAATCGATTTTTTGTTTGTTTTATCTGAGTGTTCCAGGGTATTCTCTGAATACCTTGAAGGCCCTGACGGTTCGCCACTGCAATAATCATAAGTCCCACAAAGTGAGTGCAAAGTCAAGTCATCTTTGTTAGAGAGCAGTCCAATATCACCCTGTAGCCTGGTGAGCACAAATGTATGAAGTCTTTACTAAAAAAAAGAGTAAATCTCCTTCTAGAGCCTGATGATATCAGCTCATAAAACAAGATGAAATCAGCATTTGTTACATGTGTCTGTTACAGTCTGTCAAAGCAAAGCAATCAGATTACAGAAAGCAAGGCGATTAAGTTCCCTATCGGACACTCTGAAGGGGAGAAGGATGTTGATGATGATATTACAGACACTATGGCATCTCAAATTAATGGTTGATTATGGCTTAAGATTAATACAGTTCACATAAATGCCTGGAAATATGAATAAATCTGCTTATTCTATGGAATCTGGCAGCAAAGTCACCTTTAAGTATAGAGATAATAAGATAATGTTAGAGAATTCGAGTCATGTTGCAGGTTTTTAAATCAAGTGACCGTAATGGGCTGCGTTTTGAGAGTAACCTTCAAAATGTTTAAAATGAGCCACAGGGAGCGCTTTGTTTGTTTAAGAAGTGATGTATCCATCTGTCAGCCTAATTAAGTGCCAGTTTTATATAAAGATTAGTGCAAGTAGTTCACATATCTGCCAACATTTGCAAGTCTATTCCTGTCTTGGCCTGTAATAAATGCACTCACCAGCTCTTTTAGTCATTTAACAAGTGTGTTTGTCTTTAGTAGAATCCCCATTAGGCGCTTTCACACCGGAGTACTTTTACCCGTACTTTTCCCGTTTAGTTCCGATAGTGCCTGGAATTTTGCGTTCACACCAAAAAGAGAACTTAGTTCAGAGAACTTTTACCCCCATTTTAAAAAGTGCCTGCTAGAGAGGTGGTACTATCCTGGGGAGAAAAAAGTACCAATTTCTGATTGGCTGGGCGAAATGCAAACCACGCCCGTAAAACTCTGAAAAGTTTTGTGAAGCCGCCATTGTATTTGCTGGCATTAGCATTATTAGCATTAGCCCCGCGCACCAACGGAGAGAGAATAACTTATGGCAACACAAAAAAAAACATGGGAGCGGTGGAGTGATGAGGAGGTGTCGGCGTTCTGGCGATTTACTCGGAAGGCTTCAGTAGAAGCTGCTGGGAGTCCCAGCAGCTTCTACTGAAGCCAGTCCCCAACTCCGGGGACTTCCGGCCGGGGACTCCGGGTGGCAGTATATGCCGTGAAGTTGTTTGCGGCCTGCCAGTAAACCCAAAGCAGAAGAAGAAGAAGTGACGTCAGCGGCTTCATTTGCCTAATCCACTCTCAGGAACTTATTCCGGTGTGAACGCGATCGGCTCTTAGTTCCATGGGGGTACTAAGTGCTGGGAACTAAGTGCTGGGAACTAAGTACGGCAAAGTACTTGGTGTGAAAGCGGCTATTGGCACTAGCATGAGCGATGGCATTTTATTATATATTCTTTCACTTTATACCTCCATGATGAAAAGTACTGTATATTTGATAGTGCTCTTGTGAGCATCCCAGCAATAAGGTGGTGCAGTGATGACGTTTTTTTTTTACGCCCAACCCGGAAGTTAGCATCGCAAGGGCTCATTTAACAAAAAGCAATGGGATTTTTCCATTGGATTTCGGGATATTGCAGAATATAAGCGCTGTGGCAAACACAGGTTTATGATAATCTCCACATATTTTGTAGTGTACATGCAATCGGCAGTATTAAAAAGCTAACATTAGGCTATAAATAATAATAATAATAATAATAATAACTTTAATTTATATAGCGCCTTTCATCAACCCAAGGTCGCTTAACAAAGAACATTTAAGGACAAGACATAAAACAGGGGGCAGAAATGGAAGTGTTACATTGCAGGGGGGGGAGAGTGAGTTAATGTTGGAAGGCTTTGTTGAACAGATTAGTTTTCAGGGTTGATTTGCAGATGTTCAGAGAAGGGGTGTTACGGATTTCAGCAAACTACATCACGGTCACATGGCTGCGTAATGAAAGAACATGTCACAAAAGTTTAGCTCATGTACGTGTTTTAATTGTTTTCGGACAACAATGGAGCTCAAAGCACTTTGAATTGCCTTGTGTTGAAAGGTGCTATATAAATAAACTTGCCTTGCCTTGCCTTGCCTTGCCTTGCCTTGCCTACCTCACAGATATCCGACTTTGGATACAAACACTGCCTTTTAGTAGGGTACATACTCAATATCTGTTGCATGTTAATTGTTCGAAAGTACAACGTTGTAAATTAAGGGTAGGCAAAATGGTTAGGACTAAGGGTTGGATGACATAGGTGTATTGGTTTGGTTGGATTAAAATGGAAGGCAAAAGAGTAAAGTCAGATTTGTTGATTTTGGTCATTGGGATTATTGACAATTAAGCTGCATTCACATGAAACACGATTTGCTCTTTGCTCACTGCGAGGTTTGGCGCACCGCAAGACGTTTTTTTCAATGGTTAGCTAGCTAGAGGCATTACATTCAACTGTCATCTGATTGGCTGCTGGTTGAAATGACAGCACTAAACGAAGAAAAAGTTGAAATAATTTGAATTCTGAGCGCAGTGCTCAGTGACAATTTCAAGTGTTGCGCTTCAGCATAGTTGGGCAGCAACGCTCTCTCCGTAGAAACACAACCTTCCTTTCCTTTCGCCTCTATCTACTTGTCTTTCATCCTTTCTTTATAACTAATGCTGTTGATGTGTTGTGATTTTAAAAAGGTGTCTATTATCATCTGGCCGGGGACAACAGCAGGACATTTGCAATGTTGGCTAAAGCTGCCCCATTTACTGTTTTTTTGACAGTTGAATAATGGGGACTGTCCACAACACTATAAACAAATAAACTAAACTAAACAACGTAGAAACACAAAGGCGACGTCAGCACAGAGCTGGTTTAATGATAGTCAAAGCTTTCGAAAGATAAAGAACATAGTCAGAACTACCCTTTAAACTGTGAACACACATTTATTTGTATTACCTCAAGATGTATGAATTTTCCTCAGAAAGTCACCCCGGTCAAATTTCTTCATGCTCCTAACAGGGCGGGAAAATCCCGATCCGCTGGACGGCCCCGGAGGCCATCGCCTTCAGGAAGTTCTCCTCCTCCAGCGACGTGTGGAGCTATGGCGTGGTGATGTGGGAGGTGATGTCCTACGGAGAGCGACCGTACTGGAACCTCACCAACAGAGACGTGAGTCCCAACCTGCTGTTGTTCAATGTGTTTTTATTGCAGACACTGTGGGTTCATGGTCAGGCTTGAGAAGTAACAGATTACATGTAATGGGATTACGTAATTAGACTACAAATGAAGGTAACAGTATTTCCTGATTACTGTTACAATGCATACAAATTACTAGCAGGATAACAATGTTCCTAAAAAAGTAAAAAGATCATATAATGTTTGTTGTAAACGATCAGATGTTCTCTCTTCTCTGTAAGCTGTACTGTTCTGTAGGATAATACTTTAAGTGTGAATCTCTACTTCTACTGCCTGAATCTGCTTCATGGTTTCCACTTTTTTTGCTTAACTGTGTGTATTAAACTAAAACGGAGCATTTTCTGTCAGCTCAGATTTTATTTCTGCTTTTTTAAACTGTAGTATGTGCTCATGTGTTTCATTGTTGGTGTATAGGCTGCTGCCTGAATATGCTTTAATATAAATAAAATCTCTGAGCATAGGACACATTTCTTATACTAAATATCTTGATTTCTTCTTTTCTAAGGTCACTGTCTTAGCTATTACCTATACGGTACAAAACATCTTACATGTACCCTGTTCATATCGTTGTGTACAGGTGATCAAATCTGTGGAGGAGGGCTACAGGCTGCCCGCTCCGATGGGCTGCCCGGGTCCTATGCACACGCTCATGCTGGACTGCTGGCAGAAGGAACGCAGCGAGAGGCCGCGTTTCTGCCAGATAGTCACCGTTCTCGACAAGCTAATCCGAAACCCAGAGAACCTGAAGACTATGGACACGCTCTGCAGGTGAGAAGGCCTCTGAACAGATACATGTTTGCAGTGAAGCAACACTGTGTCAGTAGTCTTTTGATTTAATTTGGCCAGACAGTTCGCCCAACATTGAAATCAAATATTGGTTCGTGTGATTATCGAATTAAGCTGCAAATCAAAGCAAGACACCATCTGCAAGGGGCTAAGAAGATGATCTCCCGGAAAATATGCGGTGACAGACTGTTAGGCTACTAAGTAAGTGTCCTGGTGTGGGAGGCAGAGGAAATCCAATCTCATCCCGCTGATATGAAACATGAGCGCGGTGGGATAAAGTTGCAGCCTAAAGTTTCCCTTCGAAGTTCTCCGGGAAATGAAGCGAGCGGTCGTGTTCGTTTTCCAATAAGCTCATTTCTGATGGACGCGCTGTGCGTTAAGTAAAAGCCTGGCTGTGATATTGTCATTGATCCGCTGTGAGTCTCGCTGCACGTTTGAGAGGACACCCGGGCCAAAGCTGGACCTGTATAAATTGCTCAGTTCAGATCCCGGGTCCTACGGAGTCAGTGTTGTGTGGCTTTGAGCCTCTGTGGGTGTGTGTTGAGAGAAGTGTTAGGTAGAGGAGAGGTGTTGAGGATTTCTCCCTGTATTAATCTACCCAAAGCAGCCGCCTCTTCTCTATCATTTTAACTGTTATTGATTTTCTGCCTCAGTTACCAGCGCATTTCAAAGCCCCTCTTTCCCCTGGTCGCTCTGCCTCTTGCTCACCTTTTGCCTCTTTTCTCATTTTCAAACTCCCTCCAACTAATCTTGTTGTCCTCCCATTCATCTCCCTCCTTCTCTGTCTATCTGTGGCTATCTGTCTCTTCCTCGGACGCAGTTTAAGCAGTCCTACGCTGATGGAGAGAGCCATCCCAGACTTCAGTAGCTGTAACTCAGTGAACGAGTGGCTGGACACCATAAAGATGAGCCGCTACAAGGACCACTTTGCAGCAGGGGGGTACCAAACTCTGGGACACGTCATAAGCATTAACCATGGGTAGGTACTGACCATGATGGAGAGTGATGATGTTGAGCTCTACTAGCTGGTGTTTGAAGCCCCTTTAACACTTGCACTGTGACTCTTAATGGATCTGCTTTTCAAGTTTCAAGTTACAAGTTTCAAGGCTTTTATTGTGATGCGCACATTAGCTACAGTGTAGATATGGCAGGTTCTTCCAACAGTACAACAAATAAAACAGATAACATAAACAGTGTATGCTAACAATAACTGGATAATAAAGGACTTTACACTGATAGCTTCCTAGTAGAACGTCTGTGTCGTGTTTGTGTAGAAGAAGTGTCTGTCGGGGATGGAGTGAAACCAGAAAAAAACAACATGGGTCGAAAACAAGAAGAGGCCGACAAGGGACGAGATGCATGAACTGTTAGGCTGACGACAGATGGTCAGACAAATGTATGAAACATAAATAGACTAGATGATGGAGGATAGAATTACAAACTGGCTATGAGGTGGAGGTTTAATGTGTCATGTAAGCCTGTCACAATAACTAACTTTATGGAATATAATAAAGTACTATATTGTCCAAGAAATAGTTGTGATAGACCATATTTTTGAAATTTGTTGACAATTTGTTGCTAATGTTGTAATGAAAAGTATAACATTTTTCAACAGCAATACACTTTAATTAAGAACAAATACAAATGAATGTACTCATTGGTATAAGTGTGTGAAAAATGTAAAATATCTTTAAAAACATTCAAATAAAAATAAAACCACACAACCAAAACAATGAATATAATTAACTTCTTGGCTCATTTTACAAAAATATACACTGACTTAGATTTATTATGGTAGGGAAAAACCTGCTGATTCTGGCTCCATTATCACTTAAATGTTGGTGACATTTTTACATATACAAAACATATAAGTAGATAATTTTTAAAAGGTTGAAATCATGTCCATATAACGTACAATACATTGAGGTCATTTCCATATAGCGTATCGTATAGTATCTTAGTTCCCTCTTGTTAATATGCCCACTTAGCTGTTTAAACCTGCAATATATTTTGGGCCACTTGGGGGCAGCAGAAACAAGTTGTGAACTAAACATTAACATATTATTACCTCTAGGGTGATACCACAAACTTCTTAGTTATTTACACACCTAGTTGTTACGGGGCAACGTCATTATTATTATAAAACATCATGTGAATAAAGAATTTGTTCGTATCAGCCTAAAGACTTTATGGGTCTTCAATTACGAGGCCATTATAGATGGCAAAATCCGGATTTCATGTGTTTTTCTTTGTGTGTTTACATGTGTTGCAGGGACATCCAGAGGCTCGGGGTGACGCTGATGGGTCACCAGAAGAAGATCATGACCAGCGTGCAGGTGATGAGGGCGCAGGTCCTCAACAAGAGCGTGCCATCTGTGCACGTATAACTCCAACACTGAGGTTTCTCATCTAGAAACCCAGACTCCTACAAGGACTAGAGGGACTCCGTGGAATTTTAGGATGAGCTGTTAATAAGAGAAGAGGATACGTGGGAACTTTACAAGACTTTTTCCTTGAGGGGTTGAAGAGCGAAAACATTTAAACTATGGAGCAAGTAAACATGACTTATTTGGGACAAGTCCGACTTCATTTTCTTTTTCCTGTCCAGATTGCATTTTCTGATTTTAAAATGTCTTGTTTATAAATGGAAAGACTGCCTTAATAACCACAAATTATTTTAATTTTATTGTCAACAAAGAGAAGATAATTTATCAATCATGAATTTTATTAGAGAGATATGATTTACTGAACCCGGGCAATAGCAAAAGTACATGGAGTAATGTCGTAAAGGGGGGATGGCGGGTGTTTTCTGACTCGCTGATCACCTGCAGATTGAGGCAAAAAGAGGCCCAGAATGAGTCAGTAAAAGTGGAGAAAGTGAGATTGTACTCACCCGAGTTGCCAGATCTTCTTCACAGCGGAGAAGACCTATTTCACCCCAGGCTATTAATACCAACAACAGGCACATTTCTCCACTGTCTAACCTTGATGAATGACCCCAGGAGAGCCCTCCACCCAGGGTGAAGCTGCGTGGCGCACAATTACTGTACTTGGAAGATGTGTATGATTCAGTTTCAGTGCACTTTATTCTACAATGTCTCTGTGTTGAAGAGCCTTCGCAGTTCTGTCAAAAATCTCAGCCACAACTGCAGCAATGATGTTGGTCTGTTGAAGAAATAGCAGTTTGAAAATATTACATAAATTATGATTAACTACAAAGTATGAAAACAAAGAGGAAATATAGATATTTAACATTTATTAGGGTAGTAAGTAGATCGCTCATGAGATTTATTTCCAAACTTTTGTCACTGTGACAGTTGTCGGAAGAGAACATTTATTTAATTGACATAAAAAATACTATTGCCAATTTCAAATACTATGATAAATACTGCATCTGACGCATTTTCAATATATTGGAGATTTCTTGTTAAATCTTTTATTTCAAATGTAATCCAAATAGAGAGGTGTATTGATGACGTTTTAGGACAACCCCGAAGTTAGCATCACAAGTGCTCTCTCAATAGGAAGCAATGAAATGTTCCTAATGGATTCGGTGTGTTGCGGCTAATCATGCTAAACTAAAGACAGATATGTGTACCTTGGTAGTTTGATCAATTAATCTCAACTAAAGATTCACTTACTTAGAGTAAACTGTAGGACTTCTTTCCATAATGTTACCAAAGATCTATGAAAACGAAGCAAAGTTGAGTTTGTTGGTAAAAAATAGGAGAAAATCCCAAACAAGTGAACCTTCAGTTTAGATTATTTGTTCAAACTATTTTAGTCAGTCTAGGTGAAATGCATCTGAAACGGAGAACAATAAATTACTTTCAAATATAGTATAAAATATATTACAATTTTTACTTCTCAAGACATGTCAGGCTATTTGAGCTTCCTTGATTCCTATCCCATACAGAAATACATTTTTAAGAATTTTAACGGCATTTTTTAAATGTTTTCGGAGAATTCCATAAACTGAAAATGTATTAAATTGATAATGATGATAGACCAATTAATAAGAATAACATTTTGCCTAGCTTGTAAGCCAAGAAGCTAAAAGCAAGCTGGTGTTAATGCTAAGCTAACGGTTTTTACTAACGGCTAAAGAGATACCATTTTATGCGGTTGAACTTCATTTTTTAAATGGATTTGGAGCATCCCATATATTGAAAATGTTTTCCAATGATGACGATGGCCCAGTTAACAGGATTAATTTACTAGCTAGCCAAGAAGCTAACAGCAAGCTGGTATTAATGCTAACGGTAATTAGATACGAAAATACATTTTTATGCGGTTTAATAAGAAAATGTAAGTGTATCCAATATATTGAAAATGTTTTAAAATGATGACAATGGCCCAATTAACAACATTAACTTTTTGCCTTGCTAGTTAGTCAAGATGCTAACAGCAAGCTGGTATTGATGCTAATGAACAACAAGATGCTAACAGCAAGCTGGACGTAATCCTAACGAACAACGAGATGCTAACTCTAGCTAGTTATTATGTTGTGTGTAAGAAGGAGTGTGCTAATTAACAAAGCACAATATATGATTTGCAAAATATAACACAAAGCACCCAATACAGATTAAGACTAGACTAATAAATAATATTAACATGGATACAAGTTTCTGAAGACTGCCAAACTCTGCAAATTGTGTACAGCGTTTATATATCTCATAACAACAATGTTAATCAATTAGATTACTTAACTATTAACACAATATACTGTACATTTGTTTGGCTTTCAACCAAAATTACACAATTATATATTAGACTGGATTGTCCACATAGCCAAGATTACGTTTCAACATCTTCGGAGACATAATTAGTTTTAATTCTCATGGCATTTATGAACAAAATGTTACAGAGACTTAATTTGGTGGATGTTTATCGAATCAACGTCAGCACTTATACTATTCGGTTTCCCTGGAGTACAGATCTGAACACATGTTTGTGTGAATACTGGGATTGTAGTACAAATAAGCTACACAGACTGTAAAATAAAGTGTTACTTCTGATTTAATGTGATCACGCTGTTTGCCTCAGTGTTGATGAAATGGTAATGAAGTGAACATGTAAGTAGAATGTTTTTCTCTAAACGCTGAAGAAAGTACAAAATCAGCCCTAAGTTACACCCCCCTCCGTGCCATCAAGAGAATGTTTTTTTCTCGTGCACATCGGTAGGTTTTTCCTCTAGAGAATTGATGTCAGTTTCTATTAGAGAAGAACCTCATGACATGTGTTTGAATATGTATAATAGTGGCATTTCACTACTGGTTTTCCTTTAGGGAGGTTTTTTGTTTTTTTAAGACACTGGACGTGAGCTGAAACTCATATTTTATAAAGTTAGGGTATGTTTTTGCTAGATGAATTGATTTGTATGTATACAGCAAGTTCAGTCACTGGAAGGAAGAAAAAAAGAAGAAAATATCAACTGGATTTATTCACATTTCATTATTTATTCATGCTCATTTGTTTATTTTTTAAATAATTCAACTCGGAGAGGTTTTATTACAGTTGATGAATCATCCTTGTTGCTAATGATAAACCATAAATGTGCAAACTGTCCATAAATACACAATAAAGGAACGTTTGTCTGTGTGTGACTGCAACAGTGATTTGCAGATTATTTCTAATACATTCATTTCAGTTCCACTTGATTTTTGTTCCCCATGTTTGCACACTCTCAACCTCATGGGAGCTGTTGTTTATTGAATGCATATAAAGTAGTCATTGTCTTATGTTGATTTTAAAGCTGCACAAACCAATTTGCTTTCAACAAAAAATCGAAATGACTACAGTACATGCTATGTGAAATATCCTCCAACTTTGAAATATCGGCACAGCTGTAAGGAGCCATTTAGTGTTTGATTTAGCTCAGTGTTTCTGCATCATCACTGCAGGCAGCTGATGGCAGATAAAGAACCCACAATAATGAGCAGCCGGTACAGAAAGTCTAACAAATAGCAGCAAATATGAGGATATTTTCACTCCAAAAAAGCCAATACATTGTAAGTGCTGGTGCTACGTTTTCTTTCTTTTTTTATTAATGTCCAAGGTACTAGAGAAACGGGGGGGTTTTCAGTTTGAGACAGAAGATATGTAAACTTTCTGCTCTCCTGATATCAATGAGGAGCTTTTTAAACCATGTTGGAGCCAGGATAGCTACCAGGTGTGTTTTAGTTTAAGGTTTACCTGAGTTCCGCAAGCTGATTGGCTGATGCAAAGCGTAGTCCTTGACCATGTCCTCGTTGTAGAAAGGACTGGATTCCTCTACAGGACGGTAGGCCAGTACCAGTGTCTTGAAGCAGAAAGGGGCAGCTACTGGTAACCAACGAACATAGCAGAGGAACGGTGCAGTGTGGGAGAACTTCGGTAGGTTGAGAACTAGTAGAGTTTCCAAAAAGTCAAATCAAAGTCTAAATAAAGTAGAAATCCGGCTGAAATAAAGTCTAAATGAAGTAGAAATAAAAAAAATGTACTTCATGTCAGCCGAATAAATAAGTGGAGAATTGCTTGCTGACAAAAGCCATAACAACTTTGTGAAATTATAACATACGTCGTTTTTTGTGCTGATATGTGGCCACAGGAACCAGGTGAAGGACAACATGCTAATTGTGTTATTCAGTCATTTAATATCCATTTTACTCAGAATATAGAATACAAATGTGGGACGACTAGGGTTAGGGTTAGGGTTAGGGTTAGGGTTAGGGCCGAATGTTTTCATCCAAAAAGGTGTGTGGGCATAACGTAGAGGGGAAGTAACCGGACGGGTTGCTCTCGTGTTTACCAAGACAAGTGAAAGAGAAGCTAATTTAAACTGGCTGTCGGACTCGATATGTTCAGAGCTAAGACTGCAGTTGTGCCTGAAGTCAGCTGTGAATAAATACCATTACCAGTTTATTTGTGTGCCTTAAATAAACTGCATTAACCTCCTGATGCTCTCTTCCTCCCTGCTTGGGATTTTTCTAAGGATCCATCTGTACAAACATGAAAGACGTCAGCATGAAGTCCTGACAGCCCCCTGAGAGAGATCTGATATAGGAGGGGTGCATCATTTAAGCAATCACCTCACACGCTCCGCAGATCATCAGTAATGAATATTTTTTCTGTCTATAGAGAGGACAGAGCTAGGGGAAAATTAATCTAGGATTCATCTCTGACAAATACATCGTTTCACATGCAGGAAGCATATTTATATTCACCCTGAGGTGTTTGATCAGCGGTTGATCTGAACTTTGCGGCACCGTAATGCTCACTGTGCATCGCTCAGGTTGAAAACAATTGACTTTGACTTCCTTAATGCTCACGGCTGAGTTTTTGAGTAGATTGCTTTTTTCTTCTTCTGTGGGAATGAGCCCTGACCCGGCTCTGAAACATAATTTCGAGCTCGGCCTGAATGGGGAATGTGCCTGATGAATCTGTGTCTGAGTAATTGTCCTTTCCCTCACCTTAGGAGGGCTGTTAGGAGATAATCCTCTCCTTGGTGAAACAAGACCTAACACAACATCATTAATCTCATTACGAAGGCTGTGTTGCTTTGTTGCCACCGAGTCCCACGCCCAATTACCAGCCGCTGCCCCAGCCCCATGACGAAGGCTAGTCCCGCCCATCGCTAACGACCATCTACACTGTCCCCTGATTGACTTCTGGAAAAGCGGCGGTGATAGCACTTTGTATCTTCACTGAGGCAACCCCCCGAGCCTAAGCTGTGTCCTCGTGTCCCCCGGCTGTCCTGAGGCCGACTGCATAAAGCTGATCACGACAAGAGTGGCTCCAGCTTTCCTTATCGCCTCACAGCAGGTCCGCATCATGACGGAGAGGCGGACAATAAAGATGGAACGCAGAGGCATTTATTGTCAAGTTTGCTTTTAATCGTAAAGCAGGAACAATACAAATTCATTAACGAGCTTTCAATTCGGTGTAATCTGTGCACAGTCATAATGAAGTGAACAACCTTGGAACAATGCATGTGCACAGCTTGAAATGTTGAAATTCTTCCAGAATATTACATTAATCTGAGGGCTGAGCGAGGAGCAGTCTCTGAGGATTGGCAGTGGATTATTTTACACTGCTGTACGGGAACTTTTTTTACGGTGGCTGACAGGTGCAAACGCGTCTATTCGGAGAAACTCTCTGCAGTTTCAGAAACGATGTAACTATAAAAACATGCGCCAAAACACATGCAAATTAAGAAACATCTTCATCAACTTCACACATACGCAGCATTTAGAAAACATTCACCAAGTTGATGAAACATAGTTTAATAAAAGAATGTTGAAAAAAAGAATGCTGCAAATAAAAAATGCTTCAAAAACAGAAACCAGGGGACACTAAAAAGCAGTTGCGAACCGTCAGGGCCTTCAAGGTATTCAGAGAATACCCTGGAACAGAAAAAATCGATTTAATTATATAAATAAAATGTTTATAAAATGAATAAATGAGAATCGTATCTGTGTTGTTGATCTGTAATATTACAGTGTTTGTCGTTCTCGGTCCATGCACTACGCATTTCAGTGGTTTTGTGTTAGAAAAGAAATGCAACCACTCAGATATTTTTCTGGGTCTCTGGGAAGAATATCCTTCAAGGTATTCTATATCCTTGATAGAATACCCTGGCCGTTGCACTGAATGAGAGCGTACGTTTGGATTGACAGTTTAATCAACCAATCATATATTGATTTGTAGCCAATGGGCGTATTCTGTCAGAGTTTCCCTCGCTTCCAGGGTACTCTAGAAGGCCCGGTAGTTCCCTGGCTCGAGACAGAGGATCTAGATGAATGCGACGAAGCAATTCATATGCTGTTTTATTGTTTTTAACGTTGAAATGGCAAGTGCAACAGGTGAAGATGATGCTGTTGCGGAATTGTTGTGAGTACCCTTTTCAAGACGACAATTCAGTGAAAAGACGGACATTATAACGGCGGGGGGGTCTGTCTACAGAAGGTCCAGTTGTGATAGACACGGTTCGCCACTGCTAAAAAGTGATGCACACAGCTGGGACCGGAGCGCTAGGTGATTATAAAGTTGACCAACTGTCACTGTTGTTGGAAACTAGCCTAAGATATAAGTTGTATTGGCTTATTTTAACAATTTGACTCCTTCTGATAATATTGCAGATCTGTTGTAAGCTACAGTAGCTAGCTAACCTAGTCATTTCAAATATACTGACAAAACACTTTCAATTATGAAACAGACTAACTCTGCAGACAGAGACAGTTGGACAACTTTATCATCCCCGAACGTCATCAAGCGCTCCCAGCTGTGTGCAACATTTTTTTGGTGTCCCCTGGTTTTCGTTGTGTTTTGAACTTCTCGCAGTGTTTTCTATTTGCAGAGTTTCCTTTATGCACTTTCAGTAAACGTTGCACGTGTTTCATCAAATTGTCGAAGATGTTTCTTTATTTGCGTGTGTTTTGGCACTTGCGTCTTTTTATATTTGCATTATTTTTGATGTGCAGCATGTTTCTCCTAATGGAAATGTTTTGGGCTGTAGGAGACTGCTTGCCACCGTATATTTCCCAAACAAAATACCTCACTATTTCGGAACACTTTCTTTGAGCAGATTGTAAAAAAAGCATATGAATTAAATACCGTGAAATGTGATTACTACGCTATAAGAGGAAAGGAACACTCTGTATTCAGGAGTGAACCGTTGAATGAGCCTAAAGCTCCCGGTTCAGTGTGAGGGCACTGCCTTTTTTCAACAAAAGAGCAGTTACTTAGGAGTATTGAATCGAGTGCAGTAAACAACCTGATGACTGGTGGAAAACCTCCTCAAGGAAAATGAATGACTTCTGGAAATGTTCCAGAGAGATAGAGGCATCCAATGGAGTATAAAAAGCATCTGATCAGAGAATATGTGGGTTTATTTTTCATGCAGTTACTGTCTGTTTCCTTCAGTGTCATGTAAACAACATAATCTGAGAGGGAGAGGTAAGAAAAAACTGATTTCTCCAGCCAGATTCCTCTGGGAGAAAATACATTTCTCGTCATGTATAACCAGGTTTCATGGGACAAGTATCATTGTGACAGCACTGGAGAGAACATTATTAGCAGAGATACTGTACACAAAAAATTATTTAAAGTGTGACCAAATCTGACATTATAATGTCTGTGAGTTTTTTCTGCAGTTCAGCATTTGACAGTTTGTGAACATTCAGTGGGTGTTCTCATTACAGAGCCTGTCCTCTCACTGGCTGTCAGTGAAGAGCACACACATACATAAACATGAAAACAAAATAAACAGGAAGCAAGCTCTTGTGTCAGTACATTATTATTTTTTCCCAATAAGGTCAGAGGAAGGGGAAATATAGGAACTGAATTCCTCCTCTGAGATAAATAAAGAGTCTTCTTTTGCTCCTTGACTTGCTGGTTACTTTGGTGTTTTAGAATAACCTCACAGCTGTCCATGGATCTCGTTTGTTTTATATCCAATTTATTCTTAACTTTTCCTGAAATCAGAAAAAATAGCCTAGTTTTAAGCTTTGTTTTTTCAATATATTTTTGAAACACATAAACAAATACTTTGAATATTCCAAAAGAACATTATTATCAACAAATGTAATGTAGCCTAAATACTGTGGCAAGAAAGATGATGTGA